TCTTCCATCATGACGAAACGTTGGAATCCCTATAGGACTTACTTCAGAAAGATAATGCATGCAGAACTCAATTGCTTCTTCTGCAATGTATCTTTCAACAATGGATGCTTCAGGCCTTGATGGGTTTTTAACATATCCTTTCAAGATTTTCATATAACGCTCAATTGGATACATCCACCTTAGATACACAGGGCCACATAACTTAATCTCTCTAACAATATGAACAATTAAATGCACCATTATGTCAAAAAATGAAGGGGGGAAAAACATCTCCAATTTGCATAATATCAACACAGCTTCAGCTTCTAGGTTATCCAAAGTCTCAAGATCGAGTACTTTATTACAAACAGCATTAAAGAAAAAACACAGATGCGTTATAACATGTCTAACCTTCTTTGGCAAAATGTCCCGAATAGCAACTGGTAAAAGATGTTGCATTAATACATGACAATCATGGGACTTTAATCCAACTAACTTCAAGTCTTTCATTGACACTAGCCGTTTAATATTCGAGCAAAAACCACGAGGCACTTCGATACCTTTAAGACATTCACAGAGGCTTTTTTTCTCCTTCTTAGACAAAGTATAACAAGCTGGAGGCAAATAAGTCTGCTTACCACGTGATTGGGGACCTAATTCCTATCTTATGTTCATATGAAGCATATCTAAGCGAGAGTTCAAGCCATCTTTGGTCTTTCCTTGAATATTGAGGAGGGTTCCAATAAGACTGTCACACACATTCTTTTCTACATGCATAACATCAATATTGTGCCTTACATCTAGACTAGACCAATAAGGAAGCTCAAAAAATATGGATTTTTTCTTCCATTTTTCCTTTTCATGGGAAACTATTTGGGTCTTTCCAAACAAACAATGAATGTCTTTCACCTTCGAATACACTTCCTCTCCTGTTTTAGGGTTAGGAGCGATTTGACTCTCTTGAAAGCCATTATAAGCCTTCTTCAACCTCCGATATGGATGATTAAGCTGGTAGAAATCTTCTATGTCCTAGGTACACTGTCTTCTTCCCATGTTTCGAGTTGATGATAACACGTTTCTTCCATACAAATAGGGCATGCATTATGTCCTTTGACACTGTATCCACTTAGATTTCCATAAGCAGGGAAGTCATTTATCGTACAAAAAAGCAAAGCTTGCAATTTAAAGTATTCATTACGATATGCATCAAATACCTCAACACCCTCTTCCCAAAGAAGTTTTAAGTCTTCAATCAAAGGCCGTAAATAAACATCAATGTCATTTCCTGGTTGTTTGGGGCCAGAAATCATCATCGACAACATTACAAACTTGCGTTTCATGCACAATCGAGGAGACAAGTTGTAAATTACTAACAAAACAGGCCATGAACTATGTATACTACTTAAATTGCCATAAGGATTCATCCCATCTGTAGCAAGTGCTAGTCTAAGGTTTCTCCCCTCTTGACCAAATTCTGGAAATATGTCATCAATTTTTTTCCATTGCAGAGAATCAGCTGGATGTCGTATCTTCCCATCACAGTGTCTTTCATCTACATGCCACGTTAAGCTCTTTGCATCTTTGGCATTAGCAAATAGCCGCTTAAACCTTGGAATTATTGGAAGATACCACACTACTTTGATAGGGGTTCCTGATGAAATTGTCTTATCACAATTATCTTCTCCATCCTTGACTTTAAACCGTGATGTACCACAAACAGGACAATTATGCAAACTTCCAAACTCCTTCCTGTACAGGATGCAATCATTACGGCATGCATGTATCTTCTTATACTCCATACCCATCGGACATATTACTTTCTTTGCTTTATAAGTACGGCTTGGAAGTGTATTCCCTTCTGGAAGCATTTCCATTAATAATTCTAGCAACTCTGTAAAACTTTTATTCGTCCACCCATTTTTGGCCTTTAAGTTAAATAATTTTAACACTGCTGACAACCGTGTGAACTTAGAACATCCTATATACAGAGGCTTCTTACTATCTTCGCATAGTTCTTCGAATACATATCCTTTTTCAAATGGCTCTTCACCGATATCACGTATCAAATCTTCTAGTCGATCATTGGTTGCTTTCTGGATTTCAGTTGTCTCTGAAGCCATGGGGAAATCTACTACTTCCCCATGCCAAATCCACTTAGTGTAACTCTTGCAAAATCCATCACAAAGGAGATGCTCTCTTATATCCTTCACACTTAGTTGTCTTAAATTTAAGCACTTCACACAAGGACAATAAAAGAGACCTCTATTGTTACCCACATTTCTCTGTGCAAACTCTAAGAACTCTTCAACCCCTAATTCATATTCTTCTTCTATACGTTTGGCATTTATCCAACTTCGATCCATATCTATAGGTACATGACGTCTTTGCTTAGTGTGAAAATGGAATTACCTCTATTCAGAGGCAACAAACTTAAACAACTCAAACTATATAATCCAAACTGAAATAGTACTGGAACAACAGTAAAACTCCAGGAACAAAACAAACAACACAAAGAACAAACTTAAATCAAGAACATAAGAAACAAACCCAAATGAAAAACAAGAGAACCAAATATAATCAATACCCCAAAGCCCTACACCCCAGCGTGGAAACCCATAGCCTTAACTCTTCCACTAAGAGACTCGGACCAGAGCGACATCAACCAACCCAACAGGGCTTGGATAACACCTCTCAACCCCACGAGAATAACCATGTGAAAATCACATATTCAAGTCAAACTAAACGGAAATAATAATACAAAACCCAGAATAAACATGTCTACATACATTAAACCCAGGCATAATCAGTCCACGACCAAACAAAACAATCCAGAATCAAGGAAAATGCATAAAGGTAATTGACAAAACAAGGATGAGAAGCCAATAGGATAGACCCACGTACCTGGTCCGAATCACCTCTGGTTCGCGACGAGATCGAAGGTGCGCAGGTGCAATGAGGAGGAGCTCCTAGAGGGTTTCAGAGAGGTGAAGACGAGGGTGGCGCGTCGCAGTTCTTGATGCGCATCGCAGTTCCTGGTGCGCGTGGCAGTTCTTGGTGCACGGCAAGGGTGGTTTTCGCTTGGGGATTCGGTTGGGGAAACGGAGGTTAGGGATTCGATTGGGGGAAGGAGATGGGAGAGACGGTGGTTTTCGCTACTGCGATAGGGGCAAGGAGACGGTGGTTTTCGCTACTGCGAGAATGAATTTGGTAATGGCTAGGAGTCGAGTCTGTAATTGGGTCTGGGAGTCGAGTCTGTAAGGGCTTGGGAGACTGTCTAAAATTTTTATTATTATTTTTTTTTTAAGACTTTCCACATCGGTTCTTGGAGGAACCGATGTAGAAAGTAAATGGTATATTAGATGACCGATCATAATGGCTTTATGACCGATCAGAACTGGATGATCGATCAGAGTGAGCTTATGACCGATCAGAATTATTTAAATCAGAGTAGAAAGCACTTTCCACATCGGTTCATGGGGGAACCGATGTAGAAAGTAAAATGGTATATCAGATGACCGATCAGAATGGCCTTATGACCGATCAGAACTGGATGATCGATCAGAATGAGCTTATGACCGATCAAAATTATTTTAAATCAGAGTAGAAAGCACTTTCCACATCGGTTCATGGGGGAACCGATGTAGAACGTAAAAAGGAATATCAGATGACCGATCAGAATGACTTTATGACCGATCATAACTTGATGATCGATCAGAATGATCTTATGACCGATCAGAATTATTTTAATTCAGAGTAGACAGTACTTTCCACATCGGTTCATGGGGGAACCGATGTGGAAAGGCTTTTAAAAAATTTCTACATCGGTTCTTTAACAACCGATGTAAAAAGTCCGATGTTAAAAGGGTTTTTTGTACTAGTGCCGCTATCTAAAGTGTATATTAGATAGCGGTTAAGGTTCAACCGCTATTAGAAGTGGTTTTTAATAGCAGTTCCAATGGAACCGCTATCATATACAACCATATTTTAAGATTGTGAAGTCTCAGGTTGTATTTCGCTTGAGCGACACTATACTCGCTCGAGCGACATCCGATTCTAACATGAGGTCTCCCATGTTACATTATCCGGCTAACTTTGATCGACGTTTACGCAGGTCAACATTCGCTCAAGCGATAATAAGGTCGCTCAAGCGACGCGACCTGCACAAAATTGGCATTCTCGGGTTGTATTTCGCTTGAGCGACAATGGTCTCGCTCGAGCGACGCCACCTGCACAAAATTGGCCTTCTTGGGTGGTTTTTCGCTTGAGCGACACTGTCTCGCTCGAGCGACATCCACATTTTTTGGTTATGATCGAGTACATTTTCAAATGATCGATCATATTTGAAAATATATAATAGCGGTTAAGATTTAACCGCTATTAGACGTGCTATATAATAGCGGTTAAGTTTTAACCGCTATTAGAAGTGCTATTATAATAGCAGTTAAGATTTAACCGCTATCATATACTACCACATTTTTCATTTTCATATCTCGCGCCACTTATCCCCAAATAACCCTAACTCTCGTGCCTGACTCACCCATTCCTCTTAACCTTGGCCAGTATCTCCTCCTCACTCCCGGCGAGCCCTAGCCCCCTCACTGCTCCCCCCAAGTCAGCCCTCACCCTAATCCAACCTCCACCAAAGCTCCTCGTCAACCGGACGCCACCACGTGAGCCACCGCGCCACACCTCCGTTCTTAACCTCCTCGCATGACCTCGACACCCTCAACCAAGGTTTGGCTTGTTTGAATGTATATACTGTTATTCTCTTGCATTGTGAATAATATATGAGAGATAATTTTGACAAAATTTCTTTATGGTTTGTTGTAGGTGGATTTGTGAAGTAGATAGGTTCTTCGAGATCCCTCTTACTGCGGATTTGGTGGTGCTTGACAGACCAATTTGGGAACTTGTTTTGTTTTGTTTAAAATATGAACACCATTGTTATGTTTAAAATATGAAGGAATTTTAGCAGAGACCTTGTGCACACTGTTCTTTTGTTTCCCTCTTTTACCTAGCAGGGTGCAGGGCAGGCAGTGGCACTCAGAGTAACAGCAGATCGTTGTGCTTTCTATAATTGCAGGTTCCTTGGGTGGCAGGTGCTTCACTATCGTCATATTTTTATTCTGAGTTTGATTTTAGAAAGTTATGTGTGCATGATGTATCCTTTATAGTGTGTGTTGCATAAACATAATAAGATCTTCAATTAACAAGAGGCCATGATTGTTAGGCTAGATGGTTTTGTACACCATTATCCTTCTGTTTCATTTGAGGAAAATCTGAGGTACCAAGGTGATAAATAAACTTATTTTGTGATTAGTACAGGACACACTGTACTTACATTATGGAAAGCAATACTTGAAAGATTGTTACATTGAAGGGAGTGTGGACTTCATTTTTGGTAATAGTACTTGCACTTGTTGGAACATTGTCACATCCATTGCAAGTCCGCGAGGTTTATAACTGCACGGAGCGAAACTCTCCACGGGAAAAAACTGGTTATGTATTCCTGAGGTGTGTGATCATGCCTAATACTTACAACATCATCTTCCCACATAATATTTTTTTTAGTCATTGTAACTTGTTTAACAAGGAAAGAGACATTTCCCAATCATCTTGTTTCCCCTACAATACAACAGTGTTAGTGACTCTTACTTTGTTTTCCAATTCCAAGGCAAAATATGTTCTCTCTTAGTTCTTCCGATGTGAAATCAAGTAAGTACCTAGGTTGAAGTTTATCATCATGACTGAGTCATGTTTATGAAAACTCGATTAAGATAATGAGAGAATGCTTGGTTTTGAAGATGATCTTGCTTTTAAGTTTTGCAGTTTGGTTTGTAAATGTTTAGAAGCATGGCTAACACAGATTTAGGAGTATTTAATTAGAAAAAAACATTCTAGGTTAAAACAAGAACCAGATTCTCTTGAAGCCGGGGAAATGATCCCTTGAAAATTCAATGAATTCGGGAATCCTGTAAGAAATCTTAGAATAAAAATCTTTGAATCTCATACTACTCTATGCTTCCTTGTCAATATTTTGCTCCTCTCCCTTTACGGTGTTTCTTTGGTGTGTTAATCTGTTAAACTTCCGAGTCCAAGAAAGGATACTACACAAGTAAAGTACTTTTATTATGTTGTGAACATTTTGGTTCCTTACATGATGTTTTGTTTGTGGTGTCATTGCAGATGTGTTGTCACAGGTAATGGGGGAACTTCATATGCATATCTGGGAAGACCATGGGGACCTTTTGCAAGAGTGGTTTTTGCATTCACTTTCATGGATCAATGTATAAAGCCTGCAGGGTGGAATAATTGGGGCAAAGTTGAGAATGAAAGAACTTCTTGCTTCTATGAATACAGGCAATCATTTCTAACTCCATTTTGTAGTATTGTTATCATCACCAAGGCCTTCTTATACTCATTAAATCAATGGATCTGACAGCAAAATTGTTGATAATTTCATAAAAACATCAAAGTGAAAGAGGGTCTAAAGTGTATAAAATTGTTATTTATTGAGTTGAACAAGTTTGGAGTAATTTGATAAGAGTGCAGGTGTTCTGGATCGGGTTTCTGTCCATCCCAAAGAGTGAAATGGGCAGAGAATTGAAGAATGAAGGAGCTGAGTAGTTTCTGAGTCACAGCTTCATTGATCCAGAATCAGACAGATCTTGGCTTCCTCAAAGAATGACCTTCAGTTATTAATTAGGATTATTATTATAATAGAATAATTAATAGATCTTGGCTTCCTTCATAAAATTCCTACTACAAGTCAATATGACACTGACAATATACCAGAGGACTAATTTTCAATTTTATGATATTAAGACTTTGAATCTTGAGTAGTTGTTAAAGTTCTTAAGTTTCATTTGTGTTATGTTTGGATGAATTAAGCACGTACAAATTTTGTAAAATTGGATATACAAAATTTGACTTTAGTTCTTAAGTTTTCATTTGTGTTATGTTTGGATGAATTAAGCAGTTGTCAAATTGGATATACAAAATTTTAAACGAAAATTTTCAGATTTGGTTAGATTAGCGACCAAATTTTTGGTCGCTACAAATTTATTATAATATACAATTCAAATTTAGCGACCGATTTAAATTATTATTTAAATAATTCAATTAATATATTAGCGACCGATTATATCCGTCGCTATTATTTTTAACTTTGTCTCCATTTTAGCGACCGATTTAGCGATCGATTTTAATTATTATTTAAATAATTATATTAATATATTAGCGACCGAATATATCGGTTGCTATTTTTTAAAACATTACCACGGATTTAGCGACCGATTTAGCGACCAATTTATTATATTATTTTCGATCACTATTTTGGTCTTCAATGCATAAGTGACCTGAAAGTGATCCTAGCAAAGATCTCATTGATTTGATGAAGTCAAAGATAAAGTCAAGGGTCAACTCTGCAGCAGTCAAACAAGTCACTCGGAACAAAGGAGTCGAAGACTTAGTGTGTCTAAACAGAAAGCTTAGGTAAAACCACTTTACCTTTTCCACTGCATAAAGCTTCTTCACTCAATTTGCAAAATGCCTCAAAAATAGTTTTAAACAAATAAAAAACAAAAGCATTTTGGCAAAGAATTTTCTTAAACAAGTTATTAACTCGATAAAGGTTTGAAAGAATCAATTTAAAACACTTAGAATGTTTTAAAAAGTGTTTTTACAATATTTTAATCGATACAAACTTCTTTTAATCGATTAAAACTCTTTATGACCGATTAGAATTCGAATATAATAGGTCAGAATGCAATATAATCGATCAGATCTTAAATATGAGCGATTAGAATTATTTTAATCGATTAAAACACGTTTCAATCGATTAAAATCACTTTGGATGTCAGTATGATCGATCAGAATGAGATTATGACCGATCGAAGTTGGTTATGATCGATCGAATTGAATTATGACCGATCAGACTTATTTCAATCGATTAAAACGCATTTCAATCGATTAGAATAACTTAGAAAATCTTTTCAATCGATTAAAACGAACTTTCAATCGATTAAAATGACTTGAAAATATATGTGCAGATTTTCAATCGATTGAAACGACTTTATATCAGCTAAAATAACTTGGAAAGTTTTATAAAGAGGTTTTTAAACAAATCAATCGATTAATACGTGATTCAATCGATTGTTTTATACTTAGAAAATGTTTGTAAAACGTTTTAACCGATAAAAACGTGGTCGTATCAACTAAAACATTTTCCGTTAAAGATCAAGAACGCATTAATGGGTTGAAAGGACTTTTAACAGATTGTAACGGCTATTTCAACAGATTAAAACAAACTTTCAACAGATTAATTAATGCAGCAGATTTGAAAATACTCTTTTATAAACAGAATTGCTTGGAACTTTTATCATATCAGCTTTGACACAATTCAAGCAATCAATACAAGCAACTATTAGCATTTTTCAAGAAAGATACACAACCTGTTTTTGTGAACTTCTTTTGAAATCTTTCTTGAGGCACTTTGCATTTCTTTGAAGAAGAAACTGATCGTGGATTGGTGTAATCCGGTTTGAGCTTTCTTTGTTTCTTCTTTTAAATTTCTATTCATTCATTTGTACTTGTTTTGTACCTGAATTTGGGTACAAGTTTTCTGCAGTTGTTGTAGAAAGTTGCCAAGAACTGGAATTTGGTTCTTGGTGGGAAGGTTGTAAGCAAGAGCTGGAATTTGGTTCTTGTGTGTGGTGCCTGGAATTTGGGCACTTGGTTTCTCTCGGCTGAAATTTGGTTGCGAGAGGTTTCCAAGAGCTGGAATTTGGTTCTTGGTGGAGAGTTAGAATAGGTGTAAGAGGGTGAGTCTCGTAAAACATCTATTCTAGTGGAACCCAGCTGGAATTTGGTCGGAGTCCGGACGTAGCCCTGGTATTGGGTGAACCAAGTATAAAATTACCGGTGAAATCTTTCCTAACCTTTCTCTCTTTAATTTCTGCGCTGCACTTAAACCTGTTTGATTGCTTTGTGATTTGTGAATTGATAAGTAATCTTAATTTTCGAATTAGATAATCTGTGTATTGCGAAAAACTTTCAAAAATCAATTCACCCCCCTCTTGATTTAAAACTACTTTTCTAACAATTGGCATCGAGCGAGGTGCTTGAAAGTTAATCAAGTTACTTCGATCCATGGCATTTTCCGAGGGAGCGTGCATTGATAGACCTCCACTGTTAAGTGGAACAGATTACCTATATTGGAAAATAAGGATGAAAATCTTCATTGAATCTGTTAGTATAAATGCTTGGAATGTTATTGAACAGGAAATTGATATTGCTAACGAGAATCCAAGATGATTGTATTGCCAAGAACATCATCTTATCCGCCCTTAACAGAGATGATCTTTTCGGGATTGCACACTCGCCAAACTGCTGCACAAATGTGGAAAATCCTTGAAAAGACCTATGAAGAAGCACCAGAGATATGCTTAATGGTCAACTCGGAATCACCAAATACCAGTGGCCATGCCAGGATAGAATGCCCGAAAATTCTGATCAGGTAAGTTCTAGCTCCTCTTCAAATATAGTTAATTATGATGCATTACAAGAATCATTTAATGAAATGCATGAAGAGGCTAAGAAACTTCAAAAAGAAAATGATAGAGTCGAAAGGGCTAAATAACCGGCTAGTTAACAAGGTTGATTCTCCGGAAAAACAGATTAGTGAAAATGAAACCGATAATGAATTCTTGAAACTGATTCATGCTAACTCGATTGTGAATGCAATAAACCATGCAATAACCGTCCCGAATTGCAAAAGAAAATTGAATTCTTATCTCAAACTGTTTCAAAGTTCACTCGGGGGCAAGCTAATCTTGATATATTACTTGGATCTCAAAAATTAATGTTTGACAAAACTGGAATAGGCTTTAAATCTAGATCCAGTAAAACAAAAACAAATAGGAATTCATACTCTACAATCAAATGTTTCTACTCGCATGAAGAAAGGGCATTCAGGTAAAATACCTGCAGAATTAAAAAGTATGCTATTCCTAAAGGGAGAATGAAATGGGTTCCAAAGATTAATTCTTTTCAAATAACATGATCAGGACCCAATAATTATAAAGGGTACCGAGAAAAATACTTAATTGTTTTGCAGGAACAAGTCTGGGAATCCCTTGAAGATCGTGAGCTGCGAAACCAGGTTCTGTGTATTTAAATTAATTGTTTTAATTGATATAAATCAATATTAATCGATTAAAATAACTTACCGTACCATTTTAATCGATTGAAATGTCGAAATAATCGATTAAATTGTTCTCGAAATGTTGGTTTAGTCGTTTTAATCAATTAGAATAAATTTATATCAACTAAAAACACTTAGGTATCAAAATTAATCGATTCATTCACGTTTTAATCGATTTAAATTTCGGTGTCATGTTATTGATTTCATTCTCGTATTAAACTAATCGATCCTTTTATAAAACAAATCGATTAATTCACTCGTAGATGTTTTCAACTCTAATGACAAGAATCAAATTAATAGATAATGAGTTGATTAATCAATTGATTAGGATCTGTAAACAAGACTTATAACATCTAATTGAAGTTTGACAGGGAAATTCAAAACAAAAACTCAAGTATCTATTATCTGCAATAAATCTTTAAAGATTTTTTTGACCAAATCAACATTATTCCCAAGAACAAATTAACTGATTCACCCATCGTCCCGTAAATTGTGTCGCACATGCTTGAACGGATCTTTAATTAGAAACTAAGACTAGTGGAGTAAATGTGCGAAAGTTATTGCCGATTGAAATACTGCAAACTTTACATGTAGGAAAGTTATCCATAGATGAAAATGTTATTTTAACAATCGATTAATTCTCCGTAGATGTTTACATTTCTCTTAATACTTTACATGGAATGCTGCGTAGTAATACATTGAAAATCAAAGGAATTATCAAAGAATGGACTGTAACTTTTCTTATAGACACTAGTTACAAACAGGTCAAATCGTTAGGATCTGAAAACATAGTTTATCAAAAATTTTTTAGTGATAATTGTTTCTCGGTAATAAGTTATTCATTACTAGGAAATCCAATAAATACATGTTTTCATTAAATTTCTTGATATTACATTGCAATATATTTGAAATAATTTTGAGCATGCATTGGTTCAAAACTCTTGGTGAAATTCATTGGAACTGTGCAACTTTGAATATTTGCTTTAATCATCAATGTCACGAGGTGACACTATAAGGGAACCAATCTGGGACAGACAATTCAAAAATTGAATAACGTGGTACAGGGAATGTATGTTTTATGGTCGATGACAGGGATAAATTTTATATTGTTTTAGAATTCGGATTGATTGTCATCACCTGTCCTCATTACTAATCATTGCCCACTCTACCAGAATAACATTCCTCAAAAGATAATGATGACTGGTTCACTATAAGTGAGAATAACACCCATCATACTACATTAATAAGAATGCAGTTATTTGCTTGGATAATGACAACTGCAGGGTTCAAAATGGGTTGGCTATTATGAAAGAAAATTCCTATCTCGAGTACATCATTAACCTGTGATTCATGCAATTTATGGTATCATGCATTCTGTGTGGGATTTGGTCAGTACATGATTATGCCTCTGATGTGTAGTAGA